CCAGAAGCCAGAAAAATTTGGAAATCGGAAGCCAATCCCGGAGGACTCATTTCCAGGGGAAGTTAGGAGAAGCTCGGAAAAACCTTCCAATAAGGCAGAAAAAACCTACGGAGACTCAACTTAGTGTTCTAAATGCACTCCCACAGTTATTAATTGAGAGCTTTCGATGCCAATACCAATGCATGAGTTTGTATATTGTGTGGCAAGCACAATTATACCATAGATGTAACTCTAAGGCTAGAAGGTCCCGAATTAACGTGCTCAACTTTTTGGCTCAGCTCTGGTACTCTCTTCGGTCCCAAGCTAATCGATTTACCCCTCGAAACATAGGAAAAACCAATAACCCCTCATTTTATCTGTCAAACTTTCATAGCGAATCAAAACAAACCTTGCGTAGTACTAGAATTTCGACTAGAATGGGGTACGTTAATCGTTTGCTTGGGACCAATAGGCTAGTCAATTAGTGAGCCAATTTAAAATCGTTAGTTTCGTATTGATTGTTGATTATACTCTATGCCCAGGGAAGTCGAGAATTTTTTTTTCTAAAGTTCCTCACATGCTCTATTGATCCAGAAATTTTCCTGATATTCATAAAACATCCTTGAAAATTTCACAATGTTCCTGACGTTTTCGGAACTCAGGAATGTTTGCACTTCGAAATATCTCATACTCGGAACTCCTTGAAAGTTCTAACAATTTCCGTAAATTTAATGGGGCTGTTTTGAAGTTCTCTGATCATCCTCGAAGTACTCGTAACCTCCTTGATTATTATGGAACTACTGGATAATCTCTTACCTTCTGTAAAAGTCCCTGAATCTTCTTTAGGACTTTCAATTTATTTATTTTTTTCAAATTAATGAACATCAGCATTGAAGTTCTCTGAACTTCCCGCTATTTTTTTTTAAGTTTTCGAAACAGCCGATACAAAACACAGAACTTTTCTTAAAATGTTCTCACAATTTTCTAATGTTCATATAACTTCCCTTACGTTACCAACATTTTCATGAACCTCTCGCATCTTAACTGAAGTTTTCGGAACTTATTTAAAGGTTCAGAAATTTCCTTGAATTTATATGTACTTATGTGATAACTTGCTTCCGTAAAATTATCTCAATTCTCCTGAAACAAATGGAACTATCCTTAAAACCATTAAATTTATTTGAAGTTCTTTGGACTTGTGAAGTTTCCAAAATATTTCAGTTTCCTTAAGTTCATTCTTGGATTTGAACAGAAGTTGATGAAACTGTCTTTAATTTATCTGAACCTACCCAAAAGTCCGAACTATTCTGAAGTTTCAGAACTTCTGAAAAGTTCCTGAAATTTTCCTGAAACTAATAGAACCGCAATAAAACTCTGGAAGCATTTCTGAAGTTCCGGAGAAGTTGAAAAAAACTGAATAAAAGTATTTCTTGATTTCCAGAAATTACTGGGATGGAGCATCAGCTGTTTCTCGACTCTTTGGTTACCAAAAACGGCGAGGAAATGGAAGCATTAGTCAAAATAGTATAAAGCATAAGCCATTTTTGAAGATGATTTTTTTTAGAGCAGGCTCAAAAATTGTAATTTTTAAAAAGATAAAAGTCTCTCACAATAGTTCTTCAATGCGGGCAGGCAGTAATCATTTTGATTATTAATAAAAAAATCGGTATTGTAACTCAAAAATCGGTATTCTGAAAAACCTTATCTTTATATCGGTATCAAGTTTGAAAATCGGTATAAATACCGATAAATCGGTATAAATACCGATAAATCGGTATGTCTGGCAACGCTGAATGACGTTTTGATACCTGTCAAATTGCATGACAATTTTTTTAGTACATCATCATTTTCTGAAAACTAGGTGTCGCATGACCAGTTTTGGTTTTGCTTTGATTCGCCTATTGATGAATTTAAGTAAAGGTAAAACTGGCCATTTGACACCTTGTTTTCAGATTTGCAATTACAAAACTGATGATGTACCTATTAAAACATAATATGTGCAAATGGTTTGTGGGCCCTTTACTCACTACTTGAAGTACACCCACGCGACACAACAGCAACATCGGGTAGGGGAAATTTTCCCCTTCCTGACGATGCTGTTGGTTTGCGTGGGCGTTCTTCGGGTAGCGAGTAAAGGGCCCACAAACCATTTGTTTACAAATTGCTTTTGCGCCGTTTTCAAATGTTAGCACTGATATGTTTTAATAGGTACATCATCAGTTTTGTAATTGCAAATCTGAAAACAAGTTAGCACAATATTATTCCACACGATTTGACAGGTAGCAAAACGTCATTATCATTTTTCACATCATTTCCATCTGCTGGTCGACCGTCACTTAAATTCATCAATAAGGTGATCCAAGCGACGTTTCTCAGTGGAACTGACAGCTAGAAATCTAGAGTGTGTGAGTGATCTGGTGTTAATGGTGCTGAATGTAAACATAAACAAAGCAGAAATTCATATGAGAGTAAACTGCCAGTTCTACTGTGATCTGTCAAAAGTTCTTGGTAAACAAAAAGGTCAGCTCATTGCAACTGTCTCGTGGACAGCCTTATTCGTGGCTAGATCTTCATTATCGCCTGTGTTGTTGTCAATATTGACATTCGTCTTCTTGAGGGGATGATTTTGAGGATCAAGCGCTGTAGAATGTGTTGGTGTTGGTTTTTACACACAGATCGATGGAAAATTATTGCCTCACGCTGAATTGATGATAATATCAAGGTTTTAGGTTCTGGGGACGAAAATATTCAAAATAATCAGTTTGCCCAAAATGAAAATGATTATTTTGCTTTTGGGGATCGGTTCTGATCTTGCAAGCACTAGTGAATATCAACAAACGCCTATTCGCTGATGTATAATGAACTCATTTGTTAATGTCGCTCGTACGTGACAGCGAAGATTTTCAAAACAAACGCAATTCACCTACACTGGGTTGAAGCGCTCCTCCTTGCGTGCGATGGTAAATGATAAAAACAGACATTGGTAAAGATCACGGAGGACTGTTTGACGGTACCACAGATTCGTTCCGTTCCATTAGAATTTACGTTGCCAAAAAAAATGTTCACATGAGTGTAATTGACTGCAGTGTCACTGAAAAATGACATGGCATTCCTTGATGATCATTTTCATGTCGCGATAGTGACGAAAGCTGTTTTTCCAATATCACAGTGAATGAATGATTTGATTTATCAGCACTGGACTGTTGAAGTACAACTCGTATTTATTTCTTGGTTTCGTTCAACATACATGTTGCTGAACATGTTTTATCGGAATACTGGTTTTCTAAGACTTAAAAAGGAAGTTCTATGTCAAGTTCAGTATAAATTAACTACCGATTCTAGCTAGATTTAGTATTATCGGTAGTGGCATTTTGATACGCTTGAATCATTTTTTTTTTTCTTTTTTCGTTCGACTTACACACAGCACTCATTCTCACTGCATCGTCAGAGTGCATGCGTCTAAGTGACAAAACTGTGCCGCCGCAATTTGTACTTTTTTCAACGCCAAACGCGTGCGTCTGTGGCAGCTCACATTATAGCCCAGCAGCATCAGAGTCAATTATAAGTTCAAAACAAGTTGACAAACTTAGCCCATAAAAACTTGACACCTACGACCTTGCTTCAGGAGCCGGGCCAGAAAGCTCCATTACTTCAACTTGCGCGGTAATGGTCGCTGTTTAAATCGACTTATGGTTTTTTTTTTCTGCTCCAGCTGGACTAGAGTGGAAATACCCTCCTCTCTTTTTCCTCTGTTTGTAAGTATTTCACAATCAAACGTTTTAATTGCGCTTGCTTTTGTGTCAATACACGCAAAAAACGAATTAGATAAACGTGCGTCTCATCGTCTAAAAGCCACGTACGTTTTACTGAACATAATAACAGCTGACAGAGAGACAAAACCCCATCCCTAATGGCAGGGGGATTTTTATCAATACAGGCAGACAACGTTCGCCGTTTGTGGTGTCTGCGGTGGGTGGTTGGGTGGTGGCGCGTCGCTTTTTCCCACCTTGTTATCGATTTTCCCTCGATGATGCTCGCACACAAACGCAAAGTTCCACCAACACAGCAAAAACAGCAGCGCGATCAAATGAGACAACAACAATAATGTCTACCCATACCTTTCTGATGCATGGCTTCTGCCACAATAAAGGGCCTATAAGGCACGTGGACCCACGACAAAGGATAACGCAAAGAGTGGTGGCACGTGGTGCAGCGGGCGAAGAGCAGTAGGCTGAGAACACTCTCACTTTTCGTTGAAGTTTTGTGTTTGTATTTGTGCTGGATGGCGTGTTTTTTGTTTAAATACTTGTAAGGACTTTGAAATAAGCTAAGATTCCTTTGTTTGAACACCTTAATCGATTCTAAAGTGTGATTTTCACAATGTTTCGCGAAACCTTTCAAACAGCTGTTAGCTTTCTCGCATAGCTCATATAGGCAGGAAAATTCCATCATTGTTTACATTGAATTTTCCATCTGCCAAAGTGCAATGTGTCTCTCAGCAGAATGCCATCGACAAAAGTGAGAGAGTTTGTGATGTGTCCTGTTCTCTCGCGATTCTGGAGAGATACTCCACTTCCTCTCGCAACAACTCATTCCACTCGGAAATAGGAGAGATTGCCATGATTCAAGGCAACTAGCGCACGACGGCATAGCACATCGATTTCATTTCGCAATCGTTGTGGCCACGAGCCAAATAGTATCCACCAATTTGTCCCTGACGAAGCAGAAACGAATTCTACCGTTGAACAGAAAAAATCTCGAATTACATAAAGTGGCCATCCTCGATAGGTGCTAAATTTGGGATTAGCTCGCCGTCAAGCGGAGAAGCCATCAGCAATGCCAAGTGACGTATTTTGTTGAAAATATTTAGCGAATCACAGTGATCTTCTAGTTTTCCCGTAGGCAAAAAAGGACGAAAAGTGAATCGTGTGTGTGTGACAAGCTCAGTGCTTCCCTTTGTTTTAAAAAAAAATAAGTCATAGGTTACAACCCCGTGTAATTATCCCGTGGATCGCTGCGGTGAAAGGGATTTAAAAATGGTAGCTATCACGGCGCTTCCAAGCAGGTAAAGTTTCATTTTATATAATGCGAAATTTAGCACAAACCCCCCGTCGTCTGCAGTGCAGTGCGGGTGAAAATTGATTTTCTCTTCTGAACACCAGCCTTGTGCATCCCGGTGCTTCCTCCAACCCTATAATACCGTACAATCCAAATCTACGTGCGTCGCATTGGTATCAGCTTTCCTCACCCCGAAAATTTTCCACGTACATACTGCAATCGCGGTAGATCGTGTCGTCGTTCGCCTCGCCGATGGAGGCCAAAATGTCACAATCGATAATGTTAGTTGACCGCTTGACATTTTTCCCACCGTGCCGCCACCCCCCTCCATCATCCGCTCATCTGTCATCATCACATTATACGGATCCGTTTGTTCACGAAAGAAAATGGCTGATTGCTTTCCCGTCTTCTTCCGTTGCGTTTGGCCGGTCGCAGTGGTGGAAAATTACCATCTCATATATTGGACCGACCGGAAAGAAACACGAACACCGAAGTGGAGTGAAAACATTGCCCGCCTGCCTGCCTATTTCACCATACTGCGGAGTTGCGGCGCGTCCTTATATTTCCAACAGGATATTCTACGGACTGCCCATCCGCACCCCTCGCTCCCCACCAACCCATTTCAACCCCACCGCAGACAGCCAACGAACGAAGAGAAAACTCCCATCTGTTGCTTCTGAATTATGCATCAACCTTGGATTGATGATGGTGGTGGTCGTGGTGGTGATGGTAGTGGTGGAGGGATGGTGTTGAGGAATACCCAGAGATGTAATTGATATGTATAGCCAGCGTGTATCGAGCTCTCCTTGGGTGTGTTATTCGATACCGACTACGACGGAATTCAACGATAAAGATAGTCCTGTCACGGCAGGCTCGTTTCGAATGAAATCATACGAATCCAGCGCAACAGGGAGTTTACATGTGCCCATAGATGGGTCCTGTTTTTTTTTCGATGACGTGGAGGTCGGAACAGCAATCTTTCACTATACTAAATGAAGACCTATGATAACCACGACGAAAAGAGGAAACGTGCACGATTTCCGTTCTTCACCCTGGGGTGTGGGGTACCTACTCTAATCATTGAGCATTTCGTTAATTTCTGTTGTTAGGGACAGAGGAATGAATGAAGAGTCAAATAGACGAAGTGGGCGTCGTTGAAAGGAAACTTCCTAATAAGATGAAAAAGGTTCAACCAAATTCGAGTGGGATGATTGAGAATACTGTGATTCCAAATAAATAGCCCGGCAGATTTCTGCGAAATTGTTGACGGTGCATTTACAAGGCACATACCATCTTGGGTAAGCGTACTAATTTTGACCCAGGTCTGATTGTCAGCCTAATGGAAGGAGATTTCCACTAAGTTTTGATGTTAATTTTAATTTGGATCGGTTCTGTTCACTCGATGCCGACAAGTAAACATGTGTGTTGCACTTAGATTTGGACTTATTCGTCAAAAGAATAACCTTATGCAGAACATTCCATTGATTTCATTCATGGGCATGGCTATTTGCACAAGATTGTTCTGCAATTAAAAAATCGCCCATAATAATTCGTTAACATCCCCATAATAACCGCAATATTTGTTTATGTAAAAGCTATAATTTTGGGGTTATGAAACATACTGCTTTTAAGCAACAATCAATACGAAACAAACGATTTTAAATTGGCTCACTACTTGATTAGCCTATTGGTCCCAAGCAAACGATTAACGTACCCCATTCTAGTCGAAATTCTACTACTACACAATGTTTATTTTGATTAGCTATGAAAGTTTGACAGATAAAATGGAGACAAAACAAATATTTCTCGGTTTCCAACAATGCGAGTATAATGTCAATTTCAACCCATTCCCCAACTGACCTCCATTCAGGGCATTTCCGTACCGCCACTTTGAAATCAAAATATTGATAATGGAGTGCGGCACTATGGTGCTAAATTTTGCAATCAAGGCACTTGAAACATAGAGGTAACTCTAAAGGCCTACCCACATTAGATTCGTTTGCGTTGCGTTGACGTAAATTTGACAGTTAGACAATAGATTTAGCTGTCACTTTGCCGCAACGCGTCAGATCCGGATCTAATATGCGTGGGCCTTAAGACTAGAAGGTCCCGAAATAACGTGCTTAACTTTTTGGCTCAGCTCTGGTGCTCTCTTCGGTCCCAAGGGGTCGAACCCCTCATTTTATCTGTCAAACTTTCATAGCGAATCAAAACAAACATAGTGTAGTACTAGAATTTCGACTATAATGGGATACGCTTATAGATGTACTTGGGACCAAAAGGCTAGTCAAGTAGTGAGCCAATTTAAAATCGTTAGTTTCCACCGGTTGATATAACCGGTTTCAAATATTTTACTTTTTGGTTCGTTAATCGATTATTAGAATGGAAGTTGGACATCCCTAGATGAATGTGAAACGTCATTTCAATTGAGGGGGTTAGAAGGAAAGAGGTGTAAGTGACTTTGATCGATCCTGTTCATTGACTTTCTCTTTTGATAGCCACAGCTTTATAAACAGATTTTGCGCTATTTCTGCCACATAGTTTGATAAAGGAGGTTCTCATCTAGCATCCAGAATGGCACACGAATCTAGGAATGTGCTTGCAGCTTAATTGGCGTTGACCGCACCGTCGACAAATTTGCTCTTCCAGCAAATTTAGACAGTTTCTTATGGGAATTTTCGATGGAGTGAAAGGATAGTACGAAGTCCGCCATGTTTCACGCACAGTGTGACGTTTGCTTATGGATTTTCTCATAGGATTAAAGAGCTACAAAGTCGCCGTCAACGCCAATTATTAACAAAAGAGAAAGTCGATGAAGAGAATCGATCAAAGTCACTTACACCCCTTTCCTTCTAACTGCCTTAAATGTAAGGGCCATTAATAAATAATGAGCCAATGTGAAAGGGGCCGGGTTAATCACAAATTACGTGTTCATGGTAGCTGAAAAAAAACCCGAGTGCTGACTGGTTGCAATTTCTGCGCCTGCGCAGTGAGTATGTGTCAAAATTTGATTGTTGACACAAACAATTTTTGGTATCCGCAACAGATAATTCCGCCATCCGGTACGCTCAAATACAGACTGGTGAGACCGGTGGGAAGAATATTCATCTCTCTGCCGCAGTCATCTAGACCAATCTCATCGTACGACATAGTACAAATATCATTGTCCAGTATCTCGTCGGGATCCATGAGCGAATCGTCCATGTGGACATGCTCATCGTCATCTTCACCGTCGAAATGCTATGCGCTCACGTGGATAGACCCGTAAGGCGTAGCAGGTTTGGTTTGGTTTCGTACGGTTCGCATGGGACGATTTTGGCAATTTCCTGTGTCATCCATTTCCTCTCCAGTAGCTCCTCGACGAGCTTCTGGATGGTGATCCGAGTTTTGGGATTCTTGTCCAACAGCGAAAACAACACGTACTCCAATTCTTGGCTGATTTCGTGCGGAATGATCAGTTCGGATTGCAGGATTTCTTCAACGGCCACGAATGGGTTCTTGAAGAACATCAACATGTACACGTACAGTGTCACACCGAGAGCCAACATTTCCAGTGCCGGGCCAGAGTAGTGATTTGCCTGTCAACATTTCCGGACTGCAGTACTCGATCGTGCCGTAGAAGGTAGAAAAATCTTCTTTGACTATATGTTTAGTATTACCATAGAGGTAACTCTAAGACCAGAAGGTCCCGAAGAAACGGGTTCAAATTTTTGGCACAGCTCTGGTACTATCTTCGGTCCCAAGCTAATCGACGCACCCCTCAAAACATAGGAAAATCCCCGAACCCCTCATTTTATCTGTCAAACTTTCATAGCGAATCAAAACAAACATAGTGTAGTACTGGAATTTATACTAGAATGGGGTACGTTAATCGATTTGCTTGGGACCAATAGGCTAGTCAAGTAGTGAGCCAATTTAAAATCGATAGTTTCGTATTGATTGTTGGTATTACTTCTGCGTGAAGTCAACGATTTACATAGTTGAAGATGCTAATTTCAAATAACAGACTCAAGTGGTAATTTTTATACGATAGATGAGGAGATGAAAGCATAGAATTGATAGTTCCGTTAAAGTACGGCAGTGTGAAAATTGCATATAGAGTAGAAAACGAGCAAGGACAACTCCCGTGAGGAATACCCCTCACCATCCCTCTCCAACGGGGGAGTTTGTTAAAGAGAGATGATCAAACCGATTTGTACCTTCTTAAAGTTGTCCTTGCTCGCAATTTTCACACTGCCGTACACTAACGCAACTATCAATTCTATACTTTCATCTCCTCATCTATCGTATAAAAATTACCACTTGAGTCTATTATTTGAAATTAGCATCTTCAACTATAGAAAAAAGTTGCCCTTCCTGTACGAACGTCGCCGATCCGATGTCAATCAGCTTTATATGGAAATTGTAATCGATGAAAACGTTCTCGTCTTTGATGTCCCGGTGCAGAATGTTCAACGAGGGCAGGAAAGCAATCGCATTAGCAATCTTTCGAAAGATTAAACATCCCAGCTTCTCCGTCATCACGGGTCCTCGCACGGGTATTCAATCGAAAAACTCGAACAGAATCATCCCGGAGCCGCGGATTTCCATCACAACCTGGAAGAAATTGTCGTTCTCGAACCAATCGAACGTGTTGACAATGTTCGGATGCTTGACGTGCGTCATCAGGTACACTTCCATCGGAATGTCCCGTTTTTGCGCGGTCTTAACCGCAAACTGCGGCACGAGCTTCACCTACAGTATGAACTACGGTATCAACAGCAACTTATCCGAGTTCCGGTAGCTCAGTTTCACATACCTGCACGCGCCCTTCCCGATGTTCATCACCAACGTGTAGTATTTGCTGTACTCTCCGTGGTTCATATCTTCATCGTATTGCGACACCCGTGAGATGGAACTGGGCCGATCCGAGTGCTGCGCAGCAGTAGTATTCTTGATGGCCTGAACAGGCTAATTATTCATCGTACTGGTCACGCTGTTGAACGTCAACGTCAGATTCTGTTGATTATCCTCATCCTCCAGGAGAATGAATCCGGATCCCGGCTGCAGTCCGGCGGCCCAGAAGCAGTAGACCACCCTCCCGTCTGATTCGAAATAGTGTCTAGTCTCATCTAAGATTAAGACTGGTACATGTCGCACGGAAAATAGAGAAATTTTTCTAGATAACTATAACGTTATTATCTGATTCACGCAATTTTTTCTGGTCAATGCGAAACCAACTAAATGAATTTTTAACTGACCATTGCGAGAAGCTAAGTATGGTTTTGATCGAGGTTTTGATGGCATTTCATTTGTTACCACCTTGCCGCATTTAAAGTTACATGATTGGAGCTTAAATGTGTTTTGGAGCAGCAGTGCTGTTGATGATTACGGCAGCGTAAAGAACTGAATCTCACTGCAGGCGGTTGGTTCCAACGGCCCAAATGTCGTTTCTGTTGAGCTGGCGTTGACATACCAAAACAAAACATTTGAACAGTCATAATACCGATTGCCAAACATACAATTATTCACAAACGAAGTCAGTCCGATGACTGGCACTCTCGGAACCTACCTACAGTTTTGAACTACAGAATTGTTCGGTAAATGTTTAAAAATCATTGAAAAATTCAATAATTAGGGGAAATGGATGTAATGTCGGCCCCTATTTATAACGAAAATGATAACCTGGCTCTGTAAAGTTTATTCGATTGAGCCTGTACAGATAAATCAATTCATAAAAAAAATGCCCCTATGTTGGGCCCATACATAAATTCAAGAATCGACTAAATTTTCAATAGCGACCAATCCATTAGTACCGTCCTAATGACGCATCCATCTAGATAAAATTGATAAATAGAACATTTTTAGCGATTGGCCCAATCTTAGATCCACAGGTCAACATTAGAGCCATTTCCCTTTGTAAATTTATTCCGAGCTTGTACTGACTTAGTTCAGTTCACCCCATTTATTTATAAAATATAGGGCCTTATTCAGGGTGTCACTACACGGTGATAAGCAAGTGATACTCAGAAAAAGAGCCGTGATTACCGTACAAATCAAATGGGAATCACTTCTGACGACAAGTGACAAGTTTTCACCGTGAAGTGACATCCGTAATAAGCCCCATAAAATATGTCAATTTTATTGATTTCTCACGTATACGGTCATTTGGCAAATGTACCGACTAGTTTCGCTGTTCAAAAACCCGGTAAAATTCTTCCGATTTCGGTGATCTGAATTAAATGTCACTAATTATATATTACGATAGTGCTCAAATAGGATCGTAAAAGCAGTGTCCGCGCTTCTAAAATCATTTTCAAAGCGTCACGTATGACGTTTTTTTTTCGTTTACATTTATTTGCTGGCCTGCTTGCTGCTCGATCCTTTCACTCAAAGATAAATTAAATCAAAAAAGCTTAAAAAGTATGCAGATTCCCGCTTCACCTTATTGAGTCTGAGCCATGATTACTTCGGAAGTAGTCATGCATGATTAAATTCGAAATAATCTTTCCATTATTAAATATTACTCTTTTCCAATACTGATATATAATCAAAACAGATTAAAATTCAATCAAAAATTATTAAAATAGAATAAAAAATTATTAAAATTTATTCAAAAAAGATTATCTTCAATCTAATCAACCATGATTAAGCTGGGATTAATAGCAAATGCTTAGTTTTTAGAAAGAGAATATTCATTTTTAATCCTTCGAAATGATTAAACTGAGTTTAATGTCAAATTGATTAAATTTCAGGCAAAGTGGGAATAGTTTAATTTATCAGTGTTCCAATCGACAGAATTGTCAAAACACTGTTCGAAAAAGTTTTTACAGCGCTCCAAACTTCTCTGGTGAGTGCGACTACTTTCGGCAACCTTCTTCTATTATCGGCAATTCTAAATCAGCCGATTTTTGCAGTGCGTACATTTATAAATGTATACGACGAAATAAGCCTTTATTATTGATTCATCAAATTTGCCAGCGAAGAGCGCTTCAGAAAAGCAAAACAATTTGTTTATTCCGTGAACGCTTCGCAAATCTCCCGAACGAACTTTTCCCAGTGCAAACAAACAAGTAAACACGTGCGTGTACTTAGATTAGATTCACCGCAGCCAGTCGCCGTTCGCAACATTGCCTTAATTTCTTTTTGGATTTGTTTACCACCATCATATCGCCCATTCAGTAATCAGAATCAGCATCGATCACACGAATCACCCGACGATTGGCCAGTTTTGGAGCTGACTAATCAGTAATTCCTATCACGACAGGCCCATCTTTCCGCTTCGTGCGCAATGTTGTGTATATATGGTTCTAATCGCGGCGCATATTTTTGCATTCGGAAACTAATTACGAATCACCCCTGTCACTCTGGCGTAGCCTTTGTGCTATTTTCAAACCATTCCTACCTAAACACAAAGCAGGTTTTCTAAACGAAATTTTCGGTCTTCATTTCATTTTCAGCACCCTACCGAAGAAGATGGCACCGAACGCCTCGGGTGATGTTACCGGTGTTCTAAATGAAACCGACGCCGATACCGTCGACGGAGGTCTAGCAAAAGACATCGCCCCCCTGAAGCGAGCCGAGAAGCGCAAGATCAAAGTCGTGTGGCGAAATGTGATCGCTTTCGGATACCTCCATTTGGCTGCCGTGTACGGCCTCTGGCTGCTGTTGACATCGGCAAAGCTGTTGACCGTCGGACTTGGTGAGTATCCTAATGCTGCCAGTTGTATTCGATTACCCTTATAATACTTAAATCTTTCGCAGCATTCATACTCTACGTGGTCTCCGGACTGGGAATCACGGCCGGTGCCCACCGTCTGTGGGCTCATCGATCGTACAAAGCCAAGTTGCCACTGAGGATCATTTTGGTCGTGTTCAACACTATTGCATTCCAGGATTGTGCCATGCACTGGGCTCGCGATCACCGGGTGCACCACAAGTACTCGGAAACGGATGCCGATCCGCACAACGCAACCCGTGGGTTCTTCTTCTCGCACATTGGCTGGCTGTTGTGCCGAAAGCACCCGGAAGTCATTGCCAAGGGTCGCCAACTGGACATCGCTGATCTGCAGGCTGACCCCGTGCTGCGGTTCCAGAAGAAGTGAGTGTTATTCTTATGCCTAATCTACATACAAACAAGTTAGAGCGGTCAAGTTCAAGATCGAAGGCTTCACCTATGGTCGACAGTCACCATGCACAATATGCGTGAAGGGTGAAATTGACTTTTAATCAGTTTCGTCATGTATTGCTTTAAAATAGATAGGAAATCCTACCTTTGAAAAGATTCCTTTTACGTACGGAATGACAACACAGAAATCTGCAATATCATGATACCGTTGCGTTCACCCTTCGTGAGTTGGGAGCTAGTCATTTATGTTGTCATTAGTTAACCGTAACCAGTCTGTCTGCTTACTTGCATGCATGAATATGAGCTATAGGTACAATACGCTCTTGACAACAACAATCATATAGAATACCAGAATGCCATTAGTTTAATGACACTTCCGTGGACAATGCCTACCTTCGCGATGCCACCCAGCCTGTGCTATTATTTTTTTCAATCATTTGAAAATGTTACGATTTGTGGACGTTTATGTGTGCTAACAATTTAAAAGATATTAGGGAAAATCAATCTGTTTGATGCATTTTTGTTTTTTGCAAGAGAACATAATATTCCTAATATTCTTACCTGTTGTGTACAAGGTCGCTCATACCACCCCGACAGGGTGGCTCAATTTCGGTTACAAAACGAACATTTTTTTTTAACTTCTTGCATAAGGTTCAAAAATTCAACTTGTATTCATGATGTAAATAGGGCATGAATTTTTCCTTTTGGTTAAAAATCATTCGAATTTTCCACTGAATTTTTTATAATTAGTGATGATTTTCTTAAGGTGGCCAAACTGCCCCACTTTCCCCTACGTGCTTTTAAACAGGTAATCTACGCACGCAAAGTCTTGCGATGGGATCTTATGAAAGTTCCTAATGCTTTTGAAAACGTTTCCTGCACGTATTTGAGTAGGTATTTGAAACCCAACCCAAAACTCTTAAGCCTGACAGAACATCCACAGTAGGGTGGGACAACATGATCATTTTTTCAGAACAATGTTGCTTTGATTCCATTCGGGGTCCCAAACAACTGTACACAATTTTGGGACGATTAGTAACTGTTGTAACCCGGCTTTCCGCATTGCGATTTGCGTGGGAAAACTTACTTTTTTTGCATTTTCATTCCAAGGGACCAACCATGCTTGAACTATGCATCTAAAACCTAGTATAGTCCAGGAAGTACCTAACAACTTTGCCGAAGGAAGTACGGTACTAGAATGCCTCTGAAACAAGCTATATGAATTATAGGCATAGTTAGAGAGGAGTGGGAGGGGGCTTACTATACCCCCACCCACTCACCCGCTCACTCAGGGCTGTTACAACATGCGCGGATTTCGCGAATTTCGCGGAGTTGTCGCGGATTTGAACTTTCAGTCGCGAAAATTGCGGAAACATTAAATAATGTCGCGAAAATCGCGAAATGATGTGCTGTCACAAAAGTTTTTGAATTCATTGTAACCTTTCCGTCCCTGACTATTTTACTGTCATCAATTGTGTTGTTCATTTGGCTCTCAATTTTTTACCCGTTCAAACCAAGCACCCTGAAAATAATCAAGAAATGATCTCAATTCCATAAGTCACACCGGATTTACACGGAAATTCCCTGAGGTCTGTCCAATGTGAGACATTTTCCTTTTTTCCCAACGTGAACATAGCATTTTTCGTTTTCAAATCATAAACGAATCGTATATATGCGAGTAATTGCCATGTATACCGGATATTCTAGGTTCTCCAAATCGTACTGGAGTTCAGTTGATTTGTTCTACTATATCAATCAAGACTCCAATCATGTCTGTAGTATCGAAATATGTCCAAACAGTGTCTATGTGGATTGTACCCGACCTATTGCTACGTATACAAGATGTTATAGGTTCTGAAATCATTCTGGAGATCAGATTATTTTTCTACTAGATCACCCAAGACTAATTCAATATCTGTAGTATCGAAGTATGCCCAAACAAATTTGCAGTGTCTATGTGGATCATGCCAACCTATTTCCGTGTATGCCAAATGTTCTAGGGTTTCCAAATCGATATTTCGATACTACAGATATTATACTTGTCTTTGTTGATCTAGTAAACCAAATCATTTGAATTGCAGGACGATTTGGATTACCTAGATCATCTGGTATACGTGGAAATAATTAAACATTATCCATAAAGACACTATGAATCTATTTGGACATATTTCGATACTTGACTTTATCACAGTCATGGTTGATCTAGTAGAATAAATCATCTGAACTCCAGAACGATTTGGAGAATTTAAAACATCTGGTATACATGACAATAGTTCATTCATGATCCACATAGACGCTGTGCACCTGTCTGGAAATATTTCAATAATATAGACATTGTCCCAATCTCGGTTGATGTAGTAGATCAAATTATCTGAACTTCGGGACGATTTGAAAAACCTTGAGCATCTGGATTACTCGGAAATAGATCATGCATGATCCACATAGACACTTTGAATCTGATTGGACATTTTCCGATACTAAAGACACGATGGCAGTCTTGGTTGATCTAGTAGAACATATCAACTGATGTCCTGGACGGTTTGGAGAACCTATAATTTTCGGGTTAGCATCATTATTCAGTTTATCTTTCTATGTTTTTTAGATGAGCTATTGAAAAAAGGTGGTTCGTTCAAGAAAAATGAAAAGTAACCGCAAGTCAGTCCCATTAGAAAAAAAAAGGATTTCATTAAATAAACCACAAAACAACGTCACAGATATGTTTTTAGGATTGCTTCTATATAATTAAAAATGTTAGACAACACATCGCATCATGAGGTTTGTCTCAAGACAGATTTTGTACACTTCCCCCAGGGTATCTGGAGCATGTCCGGATGTGGCCAATATAGTTCTTACGATCTTATGATACTCAGTTTGACCGCCGGATATGCCTTGGAATTCTCATGTGATTTGATGTATCGCTTGATGGCCTTTGATGATTTGATTTAAAAAAGGATTTACCTCTTCCCCGGGGATACCCGGAACATGTCCGGGTGTGGCTATCATGGTGCTGGTCACTCAGCATGACTCTTATTGATCTTATTTTTGAATTCTCATGTGAATTGATTTATCGCATGGTGGGTTTGGCAGGTTTATGAAAAGCTCTGGTCTGATGCTCACCGGAATATGTTCCGGCCATTGCTCTGGAACCAGCGGAAAAACATCCAGAAACATTCAATAGCGTTCTATGGGATCATGGTATCTTTCCACTGTTAAATACTGTGCTAAACCAATCGTCATGGAATTGTGATTGATTTGCGGTTATTTTTCTCATTGACGTTACATGTAGAGTCGGTGTATAATGAGTCACGCCAAGAGAAAAACAGTTGAACTCGCATCACGGTTTTCGAAAGATTCCCTTTCTTTTCACTTGGCAACAGAGGACTTCTACATCAACTTCAAATAACTTCTAGCGAGAAAAAAAAAATAGCGGCTGTAGTAAATCATTATATCAGTGATTTAGTCAAATTATCTCAACCAAAAATAGTAGAAATTCTCATAAGTTATCATTACCAAACGTATCCCATGACAATTTATTGCTCACTGCGAGTTTATGATCATTTCTTCGATTATATTTTATATTTTATTGCAATACCTTTCGTGGACCTTTCATAGCATCGTAATGTTTGTTTACTCTGCACGATAGGTAGCCGGTTTGACAGCTCAATAGGTAGACTTGGCTTCACTCTTGGCGTGACTCATTATACACCGACTCTAGTTACATGTAATCGCAAGTCAGCCCACTTCAATTTTGTCCATAAAATAAAAATTTCAAGATATTTTATCCAATATTTTTTGGCAAACATGTATGCATTCTATCACATTGTACGTTTATTTTTAAATTTATCCCTCCAAATAAGTGTAGAATCAGAAAACTTGTAAAATCTTTGAACGCCGTTTTCTGATTTCCAGTTTTTTTTACAGATGGGACTGACTTGCGATTATGGGCAGTATAGTGGATAACTGCTAAACCCTCGACCCCCCACCCTAAATTGTCTACGTAGTTAATGAACAGCCCCTAACAATGGTTTGAAAATATTCTAGGTGTTTTATAAATTCTTCGATTTCAAATAACTTCGTTTGATTTTCAGTACTTTGTGTTACGAATTAACCCTAAAGAAAATTGGTAACTATAAAATATAATATTGAGGTTAACTCAATGGCTTCATGCTTATTGGAAGGCAAGTCTGTTATCAATTTATAATATGGCCTAGAGGAAATATTACTGCCTTTGAAATCACCTTGGGGAGGTGCTGCTTGGAAACTGTTGTTATATATATCGTAACTAAATTGTAAGCATGATTTCATGCATAATGTGTGTGCTACGTTTGTACCATAGAGGTAACTCTAAGACTAGTAGGTCCCGAAGAAACGTGTTCAACTTTTTGGCTCAGCTCTGGTACTATCTTCGGTCCCAAGCTAATCTATGCGCCCCTAGAAACATAGGAAAATCCACGAACCCCTCATTTTATCTGTCAAACTTTCATAACGAATCAAAACAAACATTGTGTAGTACTAGAATTTCGACTAGAATGGGTTACATTAATTAATTTCTTGGGGACCAATAGGCTAGTCAAGTAGTGAGCCAATTTAAAATCGTTAGTTTCCATCGGTTGTTTGTATGAGAAGTGATAACATGAGCACACTCCTTGAAAGCTTGATGTTTCGCTTCATTTCTAAAGCACATCGTTCGTGAAATCGAACTACAGCAAAGGGTAAGTCACTCAGCACATTGTGCTGAAATTAGATTCGGCACACCTTTGGCACAATCTCGTAGGCATTGGATTGTTGTAAATAACTGTCACTGAAGTTGTTCACAACATAACGTGCTGTTTGACTGTATATTCAGGAACATCCTCTAATTGTATACACCAGAGGAACTCAGACCAGCAGTTAACTTCTCGGCTTACTTATAGATCTAAATACGAAATGTAGGTTCTAGAGTGGGCTCAAGAGAAAGAGGCAGTTAATCAGACCCCATTACCCTTATTTCAAATAATGCTGCAACTCACATAAAACAAACTACATAAGTCATATTCATCATCCAGTCGGTCTCCAACAATGTTCCCCACCGGTTCCAACTCTTTCCGGCCGCTGATAGACCGCTGCTTTTCACATCACGAAAGGCTAGGTTTCTGGTCTGCCTTTGAGGGCATTATAAAACCCTAAAAAACAGGACTTTTATTACGCAACATGAGCATGATTGACCGCCGACGGTTGCTATCCTGTTATTGCCAGACTAGCTGCAATTACACAGAGAACCAATAGACGATGCTTGGGACTAGCAATCATCTTCAATGTGTAAAAACTGGTTATCTTAAACTAAGCAATAACAGCGCAGGCCGCGCCCGAACACAGGTCAAGAAAGTAAGGGGTAGGAATGTGTTGACGTGACGCTCGCTTTGATGGAAGCCGAGAATACCTCTTCCACGACGAGTCACTGCGATATTGGGTAATAGGGTTAGGTTTGCAGCAGGGTTCGTTTTGGTAAACGATAAGCTGAATTGATGTCCTAACGATCATATAACAGCTTAGGATTGAACCCACGGTTTTCTGCTCAGTAAGCTAAATCGTTTGCTACTAGGCTGACGAGCTCCTTTTTAATCATCGAGTTGCTATTATTACCATGTAGTAATGTTAAAAAATAAAACGATTGACGAATCTTGAATGTGGATGGGCTTGAGATTAGAATTGAGATTGATGTTCTGCTCAGTAAGCACAAACGGTTGCTCTAAGGCCACCGAGCCCCTCATATCACATTATACCGTTACTCAAGTTGTTATAACTATTCAAACCCGGCACCGACGACAACGAACGCGATAAACAAGCTATCTTACCATACATTTTTAATATGAAAGGATCTGGGACCGCGTTTTTCTGCTTAGTAAGCAAGCCACTGCAACCGACGACAAATACGAAAACTAAAAGCTACGAAAGAGTACTTAGGCCTTCATTAAGTTGATTGATTGATTGATTTATCTTTATTAGGGAGGCTTTCAGCCTGGGGCTGGTTCGCCTCCACTCTTCATTAAGTTCCACTTTCACGCGACGTTCAATGTTTCGATTTGCTCTTTACGCATTGCTCAAGCAATCATTACAAACTATGACCGACGTGACGATTGTTTAAGCCCTGGTTAAACAAGCTATTCAAATGAAAAAAAGCCTATGGGGACGTGCAGTCAAATCAGCCTACTGATCATTCTTGTATGAATTTGGTTGCAAACTTGCTGTGGTGTAGGCATGCAATTCTGTTAGAAGAGAATAAAGTGTCTATATATGAAGTAAACTATTAGCGAAGACAACAAATCAAGAAGACTGGCAACTTTGCCAGAATCCAAGCGACAGATACAATTGCGCTGCCCTTGAGTGAAGGTGGAAGCAACGCATAGAAAAATGAGCAAATACACAAACCCTTCTTCTGAGGATGTAATCTTTGCTATCAAATTCGTTCGAAGCATTTACCTTTGAGCGGCAGATGACTCGATTGTACCTGTCTCATAGCGTTCGTATGAGAAAATGGAAGATTTGCCAGTCTTCTTGATTTGTTGTCTTTGCTATTAGTAATCTTGTGTATATTTGCTGATCCTGTCCTGGGTTTTTCGATAGACTACAGTTCCGGATGAATATGATGTGATGTGAATGAAACCCACCATCATTGCAAGGATCACCAATGTATGCAGATACTTAACCGGTTGTAAAGTTCTGCCTGATGGTTTGTTGCAGCAGGGTGAATCAGCTTCATTGAAAACCTGTGGAAGACTAAACGACCAGATAGCCATCTGCAATCACGTGACAAGGGACTAGCAAATCCACGAACTCTCGTCCAGTCAACAAATCCTTTGATTCCCTTATACCCCGTACAGACTATGGCTTATATCATGTAATATACTGCCGCTCTTCGCATGTCCGTCCCATAGCGAAAATCGCGTTTTAAGTTTGCTTCGTACCATTGATTCTTATGTGATGGGACAACCAATGTGACTGTCTTTCAAAATTTTTCAGAACAAAGTTGATGAGTTCATCCAGTATTATGAAAATATGGGTAATTAGCTACCATTTGTATTGAAAAACTCAGTTTTGACAAAAACGACTATGGGACCGACATGCGAAGAGCGGCAGTATAGGCTGTCTTGCAATGAGCACTCATACATAGAATTTCCAGTGAAAACTAGATGCATGAGTCCTCATTGCAAGAAATCCTATATTACATGATATAAGTCATAGTCTGTACGGGGTATTAGCATAGAGGTAACTCTAAGACTAGAAGGTCCCGAAATAACGTGCTCAACTTTTTGGCTCAGCTCTGGTACTCTCTTCGGTACCAAGCTAATCGATTCACCCCTCGAAACATAGGAAAATCCACGAACTCCTCATTTTATCTGTCAAACTTTCATAGCGAATCAAAACAAACATTGCGTAGTACTAGAATTTCGATTAGAATGGGGTACGTTAATCGTTTGCTTAGGACCAATAGGCTAGTCAAGTAGTGAGCCAATTTAAAATCTTTAGTTTCGTATTTTTTGTTGGTATTATGCTTATGAAATGGATGTGTGGAACGTATGTAAAATAAAATTGTGACGTATACATTTCGCTCAGATCGTTTTAAATACATAAGACTCGTATGAAAACATAAAAAAAAAATATAAAAGTTCGTTTTATAAGATGGATCTTATGAAAATTATACGCATTTTTTTACCTGAGTGTAGGATCAACTTTATGTGGAATATATCGCGAATTGATTGCCTGTAAATTAATGATTACCAATTTGCGATGTTGACCGATTCTTACATTTAAAGTTTTCAAACCATAAGTAAAAAAGTTCTAATATAGTTCTCTTTCCGAAAATGTATGGAGAAAACAACTATTATTTGTAAGGCCTACTTTAAAAAAAACCATAATACATAAGGTTAAAACTTTATCGCACAAACGTTCATGTAACGTTCCATAACCATTTCAGTTCAAGTTTAGAAGAGATTATAAATATTTTTTTTCCATTTTCGGTAAGGTCAAGTTATGATTTGCGTTTATGCGGGTACTTCTGTGTTTTCTATAATATAGAGGTAGCTCTAATGCCAGTTTAATATTTCAAATTAAAGCTCTATATTGAAATTTAAAATCTTCCAACTGCTAATAATTCAAACAACATCACCTTACTAACAACTGTACGGACAAGTGCATATTAAATATTTACACTACAAACATTATTATGGGGCCTCCCTTAGCTCAGTCGGTAAAGGCACAGCTACTAAGCAAGACCATGCTGTAGGTGCCTGGGTTCGATTCCCGGTCCGGTCTAGGAATTTTTCGAGTTGGAAAATTTGTCGACTTTCCTGGGCATAGAGTGTGATTGTAATTGCCACACAATGATACTAATGCAAAAATCGTATGCACGTAAACAAAAAATCTATTACAATGAAAGTTAGTTCCGTTTCCTATCATCCTCTGTTCATGAACATCGCAACGAATGCTAGAAATTGACCATGCAGGCGATGTAATGGTTTTTTGTCTTTTTTATTTCGTGTTCTATCTACGCTTTCGACTATACCAGTAAGCTTGTAGAACGACGCACATTGTAGATCATTGTAGAACGACGCACACACTTGCCTCGAATCTTCCCAGCAGAAAAAGTATACGAAGTCGAGTATGCGAGAAAATGAGCGCTTGATGTTTGCTCACCATATTCAGAAACATGGAAAGAGCAGTGGAGAAAGCACATGTCTGATAATCGCAACGTTCGTGGTTCGAGCCCAGTCGGCAATCTGATTCCTATTTTTTTCGAAATAACTAATTTACCTCACTAATACACTCTACATTTTTCGGTCTCCAATTTTCTTGCATTGGACCGCAGCTAGGTATATCGCATCCTCGGTTTATGCGGTCTCCACTAACATCCTCTGATGATGAATCCCACATAATTGTAAGCGAATCTTACATCCCCCGGTTGGGTGTAGGCTTAGAAAACTCTCAATTAACAACTCTGGATAGAGCTGGAATTAGGGCCTAACAGCTTTTGTAAACAATGACTTCTCTTGATGATATCCTCATCGGATAGGGAAAGACTTTCCCTATCCGATGGCTATGTTGCTCTGCGTGGGCGTGCCTTGAATTCCTAGAAATCATCTGTTTACAAAAGCTGTTACGCCCTAATTCCAGCTCTATCTAGAACTGTGGAAGTGCATCTAGAACACTAAGTTGAGTGCACGCAATAAGCTAATATGCGATATGCAATAAGCTTGAGATGCGAATAAGAAGAAGACAAACATTATTGATTCAAAAACTGCGTATAGTAGATGGTTGTCTACGCAGGGGGAGAGGGGTCTAAAACTGTCTACGTACAACCCGTAATGTAGATCTCTGGAGAGTCGTTGATTAACTTATCTAGGATAGCTGCATTAAGATCTGAAAAATTCTTTGGAATGACTGAAAAATCCGCTGAAATTGTTCTCAAGCTCGACTGAAATTATAGTCGCCCGGTTTCGCTCATAAAATTCTACTGAGCAGTCCTGCTGTGAACTTGCCCTCTGACTGTATGAACTTCTCTTGCGTTACTAAGTCTACGCATTCAATCAATTAACGCGCCATTCCAACCTTACATTCCCCAGATACTACATGATCCTGATGCCCGTGCTGTGCTTCTTACTGCCCACCATAACCCCTGTCTACTTCTGGAACGAAACCTGGACCAACGCATGGTTCGTAGCAACACTGTTCCGTTGGACCTTCATCCTGAATGCCACCTGGTTGGTGAACAGCGCTGCCCACAAATGGGGACACCGGCCCTACGATAGGTAACTGTCCTGCTCATTCGCTCACCCAGTATACCTATATAACCTAATGATCGCAACTTTTTCCAAACCTCCACAGCTCCATCAACCCATCGGAGAACAAGACGGTAGCCACATTCGCATTCGGCGAGGGATGGCACAATTATCACCACGTGTTCCCCTGGGACTACAAGACGGCCGAACTGGGTAACTACCGGCTGAACTATACAACTGCTTTCATCGATTTCTTCGCCAAAATCGGTTGGGCGTACGATCTGAAGATGGTTTCGAACGAGATCATCGAGAGGCGAGTCAAGCGAACGGGAGACGGAACACATCCAACATGGGGCTGGGGGGACAAGGATCAGGACAAGATGGAGATCGAGCACGCCAGAATCATCAACCGTAAGGAGGAATAAGCAGGATGGCGTAGTGTGCACGCGCGCGAGAAGGACCAGGATGCGAGCGAGAAAGAGAGAACGCGTATTTTATTATCCTCTATCGGGAACTCACGTGATTTTTTTTATTGATTAAGACAGCGTCTCCCGTGAGGAAAATGGCTTCCATTTTCCGAAGAATACAGAAGACATCAAGAGAGAACCAGAAGAGTTAGGGGTTTAGCAATTGATTCGAGTGAATTAATTTTCTTTCTGTTTTCGGCTGAAGTGAGGCCCATATTGAATATTGAAAAGCTAAATTGAACTTTAATCAATGTCAAGAACAAAGAATAAATCAAATCGTATATGTGTGTGTCAGTATAAAACACATATTGAAGAAAAAACCAATTGATTCAGGTGTGTTAGGATCTAATGCATAGAATGATCAAAACTGTTACTGTTAGAAGCTAACAATAAAAGAGCCATGAAACTAAAAAAAAATAGTGGAAGCTTATTGGAATGAGTTTGGTGATTAAATTTAGGAAATATTTCAATTGAAATGGAACATTTATTTTACATTCGGTACAAACGCGGTAACAGTGCACTTTTTTTCCTTTATTTGGCCTTACTTATACTCCAAGAAATCATGAACGGAATCCGGAAATGGTCGATATTTCTTTTAGTTTTAGTACTACTCTTAACGGACGACCATGTTTAGCTTTAGCTTGTGTAATTTATTGTTTAGAGCCAAGAAGATTCATGCTGTGAAACATAGTAAACTAATAGAGGACACTCAGGCAGTGTCAAAGTGGAAGAGTGGAAATTAAGCCAGTGTCTTTTATTTCTTCACAGTATCCTGTTCAAAGAAAGTCCATTTTGTACTATCACCCTTAAAGTTGGTTTTGTTTTTTGTTTTCAGATTTTTTAGAGCATAGAAAGGAAAGAAAAAAAAAGCAGAAAGTAATTGGATTGAGACTGACGAAAATAGGATTTAAAAAATCGAAAATAGGTAGAGATTTTTGGATGGAAGTTTAAGGCAAAAGAAGCGCAAAGTTTTGGAACGATTTTTTGTTAGGTACTGTTAAAATTGTTTACTGCTCGAAATTCTCCCACTATTGATCGCAACGCGAAAGAAAAACCGCTACACGACACGATCGCCACTGGGTTCGACCAGGCGAGAAGTTGTAGCGAATTAAAGTATAGACCACATGTTCCTAAATATGGCACGAAAATAAAAAATAGAATCTTCACAGCACTGACCTTCGCCTAAGTAAACCTTTCGGTACTATAATATGAATACGATTCGTATGCAAATTGTTCAACAAAAAAAAAACGAGCCAAAACCAGTCATCCACCATTTCATTTCCGATTTTACAACCATAAAAATGGAACAATAACGAACCGAAAAGAAAGGTTTGCGATAATCTCATATTTTTCTACTAAAATTTCGTTAATTCTTTCAACTATGTTTGACCAAAAGATAAAAAGTAATAGAAGTACTAGTAAATTGAATACTTTGGAAATAGCCCCTTTACCGCCCCACCCCCCTAACAAGGGGTCAATCATTGATCGAATGTTGCGATGAAACACAAGTAAAAAAGAAAAGGAAAGCATCTTAATAATTATAACTGTAGTACACCATGGAAGTGGAATTTATTGTGTAATCTGATATGGCATACAATGTACGGTGACATAAAACAACAGAGGGACAATTCTTATGGAATAGCTGTTACAAGCTACTTAAACACGAAGAAAGAATTGATCACACTCAACAATAAAATGGAACATGCATAAGTAAATGATTACAAACACAAACAAGAAACAGAAGAAACAAAAACTGACATGGGGTGGAGATAGTCAAAAAGAAAAAATTTAGTAAACGAATATTTGCTAAAACACAACCTTCGTATCGAGTATTGATTGTTTGAGAAAACCATTGTCGAATGTCTTACCATTGTAATTTTTATTGTAACTGTGTTACCATTTCGAATAGCATTAGTGTTAGCCTTGTTATGGTATACTTCGTACACAGACAAACAGACGTACCTCTTTGAAAAAGCTTTTCTTGAAAACATAGGACCTCAGTAACGACATCTCTCGGGTTTTTCGCGGAAAACAAGCTTGCTCGCTAACTCGCAAACAATATTGCATAAGTGCTACGCCTGTTTGTCTGTGCTTCGTAGATTGGATACTAGTGACACTCATGTCTCTTTCGAAATTCCCAATCAGACTGCTTTCAGGAAAAATGCTGGGGAGTAAATGGGATAGGGAAGTAAATGTTGATGTAGTACTTACTTAACCGACTTAGCGACACCATCATAAGTGCTACGGAGTAAACTTATTGACTGGTTAGGGTGAGTGTGAAAGCATTGCACTATTCAATCCATTGCTCTGTCCGGATCGTTTGTACCAAACGGTAAAGGACGAGGCCAACAAAAACATTCAGTCACTCATGAACAGGCCGATCACACCGCTTGCCTTCGCTCACACAGCATGTAATTGAGGTAGTAGTAAAATTATGTTTATTTCTGTTGATTATGGTAGTACATTGATTTATCATTTTAATTGATTAGCCTACCTGGCTCTTCATCTTTGTTTAATTTGATATTCTAATTTAATATTTGCGTTTTTCAACTAGTTTAGAGAATATCCCTTTGGGGATGTGTTTTATTTGAATTGAAAAAAAGTGATAACCTACCTAACTACGAGTATAACTTAACCTAACGTGCTAGATCACGTATGATCTGATGATTTGATCTCAGACAGGTGTCTCTGAACCTTTCCAGGATGAATACTCTCCGTTCTTCTAATGTCTGAATTCCAGCCAGGAGGTGGATCTCAGAATTTCTAGTTCGCGGGGGACTGTTTAGGACCATCCTAAGGATCTTGTTCTGGATCCTTTGGAGTTTAAGGTGATGGTATTTTGCGCAACTCTCCCAGATTAGCATACCGTACTCGATTACAGGAAGGATGATTTGACCACTGTGCCGTTCAGGCAGTTCTTGTTATTCTCCGACGGAACAAGTCTAGGAGATTTAGAGTGTGGAAAGATAATGACCTGGGTCTTTGCCGAGTTGATACGGATCTTCCAGCTGTTGAAGTATTCAGGCAGGACGTCTAGGCCTCTCTGAAGTTTGGCAGTCAGAGCTCCGATGACCCTACCCTTGTAGACGATGGATGTGTCATCTGCGAACAGAGACAACGATCCACCATCAGGGAGAGCCAGCATATCGGAGGTGAACAGGTTGAATAGGATGGGGCCAAGGATGCTTCCTTGCTTCCGGCACCGATGTGGAAAGCATCCGATGTAATGCCATTCAGAGAGACTCGGAACGTCCTGTCTGATAGATAGTTGTTTATGATCTTCACTAGGAAGATTGGAAGACCGTACTGCTGCAATTTGAACACCAGGCCATCGTGCCAGACATTGTCGAACGCTTTTTCAACGTCCAACAACGCCATGGCAGATGTTTTCGAAACAGACTTGTTCCGTCTGAGAATGTTTGTTACTCGAGTCAGCTGGTGGACGGTCGAACGACCTTTCCGAAAACCAAACTGTTCCTCGAGTAACAAGTTGTTTTCATCGGCAGATGTTAGGAGCCGGTGGTACACTGCTCTTTCGAACAGTTTTGATAACCCTGAAAAAAGGCTGATTGGTCGATAACTTGAAGGAGAGGACGGATTCTTCCCAGGTTTCCGGATGGGTATGACTTTAGCTGACTTCCAACACGAGGGGAAGTAGCCAAGTCTGAGGCAAATCATTGCCAGATGGTTGTAGAATCTGGAACTCAAGTGTTTGAGTTCCAGATTCAGGATGTTGTCGAAACCTGGGGCCTTCATGTTTTTAGATGATTTGATATAGGCCAACAGTTCGTCAGCCGTAATCTCGGATTCCTCTTGGAAAAATGTTAGGAATCTGAAGAAGATTGGTTGCATTTTCAGCAACCTCAGATTCATGAGGGCTGACGATGCTTTGTCCGAGATTATGGGAGCTGACGAAGTGTTGACCTATCGCGGCAGCCTTCTCTTCAGGAGTTACCAGATGAACCACTGGGTCGCCGCGACGATCCAGTGGAGTCAGTGGTGGAATGGGCCTAGGCTTGTTTTTAAGAATTTTTGTAAGTTTCCAGAAGGGCTTAGCACAATCTGGGAGAGAGCGGATCTTACTAGCAAAATCGTTATTTCTGAGATCCACCATCCTGGCCTGAATGATCTTTGTTAATCGATTACAATTGGTCTTCAAGTTAGGCAGGCCAGTACGCTGGTACTGTCTACGAATGGTGTTACGGAGTCTAATGAGATCTTTGATAGGGCTGTCAAGGTTCCGAGTGTTACTCACCTGTCTGGATACTGGCACGTGTTGTTCCCTGACCCGGGAAATCGCCTCCTCGATGGTTTGTAGACACCGGTCAACATCTTCCGACGTCCCCGGTTGGACATCGTAGTCGATGGTTGTGTCGACGCAGTGTTGATATTGCGCCCAGTTGACTGGATGGTAGTTGCGCCGGGAAGCCTCGAATCGGTTTACCGAGGATCCAACTTCGGCCACCACCGGGTAGTGGTCCGAGCTCAGCTCCTGGAATGCCACAGGTTGTGAGACGTTGTGTCCCATGTTGCTTACGAAGATGTTGATGGTCGCATGGACCCTACACCGACTCAACCGGGTGGGAGAGTCCGGGGCCAAGATGGTATAGTGGCCCTCTTGCAGGTCTTCATTGAGGATGATGTCGTTTCTATTGCTCCGACCGTTGCCCCAAGCTTGATGTTTTGCGTTCAGATCGCCAGCGATGATAAAGTTCCCGCTCCTCCGGGTGAGTTTGATGATGTCTTTGCGGAGGGCCACTGACGACCCGTCCCTGATGTTGGTTTGCTTGGGGCAGTAGGCCGCAATGATGGTGATTGGCCAAGTGATGTGCTCACCTCCACTCCGATGGCTTCAATTGTTTTCAGCTGGAAGTTTGGTAGCAGCCGGCAACTGATGTTCCGTCTTGCAGCGATGGCCACTCCTCCACCTCCAGAGCAGGTGCGATCAAGTCTGACGAGCCGGAAGTCGGAAAGGAATACGTTCTGTTCGGGCTTCAGATGCGTCTCGGTGATGATAGCAATGTCGACCTCCTTAGTGTTGAGGAAATCGAGTAGCTCTCTATGCTTGTTCGTCAGTGAGCAATCGTTCCAATTTGCAATTTTTATAGCTTCACGGTCCATACTTGGTGACGAGTGACAAGGTAGCAAGAATAACGATCACCTCTGCAACCAGCGTTACTAGTTCCTCTGATGTTAACGGATATTCGTCAACTAAGTCACCTGAGGCAACACGGACATACGATAGTCCAGGCGCCGAGGCAGAAGCTTGATTTGGCAGAGCTGTAGCAGCAGTGAGTGCGATGCTGAGCTGAGGGGGCGGCTCGTTGACTGTTGTTGAGAGGTAGCGGTGGAAGATTTGGGACCAGACGACGAGGATGGATTGCCGGGTATTGTTCGTCCGTGATGGCTGGTGGTGCACGTTTATTTCGATGCCGGCCTGGCTGGTTGCTAGTAGCCACCTTCTTCCTCATGGTGATGAATTCCGTTCGCTTGGGACAGTCCCGAGTAGTGTCACGGTAAGTTCCGCCGCAATTCACGCACTTCGGGTCGGTGTTATCAGCTTGAGCACAGGTCGCCGTCGAGTGGGCCATAGCACACTTGTCGCTGCGTGGTTTCATATGACAGTTCTTCGTGCCTTGGCCGAAGGAGAGGCAACTTGTGCATTGGGTCACATCACGGTGTTGCGGCAAGTAGTATTCCCAGTCGATAATGACCTGAAACAGGTCACGTATTTTGCTCTTGAGCGCAGCAAGGGTGGTGGAGCCCTTCGTGAGGTGGACCAGAAACAGTTGGTCACGATAGTTGGTATTGGGCATAGGCCGTCGATTCATTGGGTGGACTGCCTCTGGTTTCAATCCGAGCCTCACCAGCTCATCTTTTACGGTAGCCGCTTCGTACGACGGCAGACCTCGTAAAACAACCTTCAATGGTTTCATCGAAGGCAAATCGTGAGTGTAAAACTCCACTGTGCTGTTCTTCAGCAGGTCACCGACCGACTTGTACTGCTGTAGGCTGGAGCACATGATCTTTGTTCCAACGCTACAGATTTTGAATCGCGGGAACAATTTGCGTTTTGCCAGCTCATCCCTAAGCTGGGCGACGTCCTTCGTCGGGGTAAACAGCGGGGGAATCCGCTCCTTTTTCGCAATTTCAGCGGCGTCACCACCGCCATTTTCTACTCCGAGCATTGGTTGCTCTGTAGCAGCCGATTTGCTGCGTCATCCGAAGCAGCGCTGGGATCCGTTTGGGCCTTCTTGCTAGGGCCCTCCGATGCAGGAGCAGTAGTACGCTTGCGTACCATGCTTTGTTTATTGGCAAGTGCATGGCACGGCACGGCACTTCCACGACGCGAACGTAGCAATAAAACGAACTAGGAAAAAAACTCAATATCGAAACGAACGAACGAACGAACGAACTATACTGCTAGACGGTCTAGCAACGAATGATTTAATTGAGGCATTTTTTCCATAGAAAATATACGCTCAGTCATTTAAAACAAGGATTGGGTACCATAACGGTAGAATAATCGTGCTGACCAAGGTGACTACAAATTCATGATTCAGCAGAAGTGACAGACGACTAACTGGCGAAGAAATCAATTAAAATAATGTGGTTCGCTGTAATAGAATTTTCTTAGAAGCTTGTACCATCAACCACCAGATGGGTTAGTTTTTTTTTGTTTTTATGTCAACAAAGTTGATTTTGTGTACAATGATTCTTTGACAGTGTGCAAAGAGTGTATCATTTTGTCATTTTTTTATGCATTTCAGTTTTGAGTAGAGTGAAAGAGATAGAACCAAAACATTCTAGTATATTTGGTGAAAATGCTAGTACAATCCAGTAGTAGTGTTGCCACATGGTACAATCAACAATCAATACGAAACTAACGATTTTAAATTGGCTCACTACTTAAGTAGCCTATTGGTCCCAAGCAAACGATTAACGTACCCTATTCTAGTTGAAATTCTATTACTACACTATGTTTGTTTTGATTCGCTATGAAAGTTTGACAGATAACATCAGGGGTGTGTGGATTCATGCAGAACATGCAGGGGTGAGTGAAATAGCTTGGGACTGCTTGGGACCGTTGTTCTGGTACTGAGTGAGCCAAAAATAATAATGATTTTCTTCGGGACCCAGTGGTCTTAGAGTTACCTCTATGGTACAATCCAGTAGTAGTGGTGTTGCCATGTGGTACACTAAAAAATTGCATTAGCAGGTGCGTCAGCAAAGTTTTTGAGCCGCTCCGTCTGTCACTTCGTTTGTGCTGTCAAAGATCATATTGCACACAAAATCAACTATGTTCAAATCAAAACCAAAAATACTAGCCCATCTGGTGGCTGATGGCACAAGCTTCTAAGAAAATTCTATTACAGCGAACCACATTATTTTAATTGATTTCTTGGCCAGTTATACCATAGAGGTAACTCTAAGACTAGAAGGTCCCGCAGAAACGTGCTCAACTTTTTGGCACAGCTCTGGTACTCTCTTCGGTCCCAAGCTAATAGATTCACCCCTCGAAACATAGGAAAAACCAATAACCCCTTCTTTTATCTGTCAAACTTTCATAGCGAATCAAAACAAACATTGCGTAGTACTAGAATTTCGACTAGAATAGGGTACGTTAATCGTTTGCTTGGGACCAATAGGCTACTAAAGTGGTGAGCCAATTTAAAATCGTTAGTTTCGTATTGATTGTTGGTACAACGGTACTGCTTTGTATGTCTGTCAATGGTAGGGCTACCATATGGTATCCTAAAGGAGGACATATCCTCCTTTTTCAATAATTTTTTTTTACATACTCCTTTTGCCCGAAAATGTCCTCCTTTTTAATCCTTGCATTTTTTCCAGTAACATATTCATAAAACTGTTTTCAAAGAGCGTTGTTTGCAGAGCTTATTTGTTTAATTATGTCGGAACCTCATCTTATTTAGCAAATGCCATTCGATAGTGGGACTAGGAGTATACTACAGCTGTCAACCACCTACATTTAGGCTCAGAACCATTAACATTTTTTTTAACTTTGGTTAAAATTTGACAGATGGAAAGTTATCGATGAACCCTGCTATCCGAGCATGGTTATTTATGACCGACAAGAAGTTAAATTTTGACAACCGTGGGTCGAAAACCGGTCGATCGACAGAACGGGGATAATCGAATGGCATACTTTAAAAAAATAACAATTTTTGGTGTAATTACAGAAATTTTTTAAAAATATGTCTTTATGGACCATAGCATGCTATAATTACAAATGACATCAAAATCCCATTTTTTTTTAAACATTTAACATGTGAAAAGTCAAAATCTCGTAAGTTTTTTTACAGGTTTTTTTTTTACACGGTACGTATCCAACGTGTAAAAAAAGACCTGAGTGTGGATAAAAGAACTCAGGGATAACATTTGATAACGGCACAAAAGCATTTGTAAACAACCTTTTTAAGCCCTTTACACGCGAACCAAAGTACTTTGGTTCGCGTGTAAAGGGCCTTAGAAAGTTTGTTTACAAATGCTTTTGTGCCGTTATCAAATGTTATGCCTGAACTGAATTAATCTAATAATCTAAAAATGAAATGACTACCATTTAACTAGTTTTTGAATAATCATTTTTTTTTTAAATCCCCCTTATTCTGCGAGTCACGTGACTCTCTGTCACCGGTGAGGTGACAATTGTCACCTCGTGTGAGGTGACTCTCCATGTAAATCAAAGAAATGGAGAGTCATCCCACACGAGGTGACTATTGTCACCTCACCGGTGAGAGAGAGTCACGTGACTCGCAGAATAAGGGGGAATGTGTTACATGATTATTTTTATTCGTTTCAGGTCTGATTAAATCTCATGACTCATACAAACCAGAACATGTTCCGGCCATACCTCCAGAACCAGTTGACCAATTCAAAAGCCTTCTATGGGACCATAGTGCCTGATCCCACCCACGTCGTTGAACGTGGGCGCGCCTCTACATAAAACGAAATCTTGCTATCTACATTAGTCTATAGACTTTATACTTGTATACATTATATGCGGTCATCGAGAAAGCGAACCAGAAATCAACAGTCTAATAAAATGTATATTTCAATCACATTCCATACTCACTCACGAAGCATATGGCATCAAGCTCACATTTTCGACTTTGGCGTTTCGTTGGCTTCATTTGCAATTTCCTCCTTCTCCCAATCCGGCAGCGGTTTCTTCTTGATATCATGAAATTTTCCTCCCTTTCCCACACCCTGCTTGAACTGTTCCGCACCGTACACAGCGTCCTTCAACAACTCCTCACTCGCCGTCAGCACCTCAAACTCCATTGCATCCTCGAGCGATTTTGCCTGGAATGCTGCATAGTACATCGAATTCCTATCGTGATTCAAGCAGAGCTGAGGATACTTGGCAATGCTCATCGCCAAATTGTATGCCTGCCCCAGTCCAGTTCCCACGGCGACAACCCGGTTGACCAGTCCAATCTCTAAAGCTTCCTTTGCCCGTACACCCCTTCCCGTCAGAACCAAATCCATTGCCCGCGAAATACCTATCAAAGCCGGCAACCGAACGCTTCCACCATCGACTAGCGGTACGCCAAACCTCCTGTTGTAGAATCCCATAACGGCAAGTTCCTCCATGACTCGTAAATCACACATCAACGCCAGTTCCACGCCACCAGCTACACAGTAACCGGATATGGCACAAATCATCGGTTTTTTGAAATTCCGTCGTGTTGGTCCCATAACGCCACCTCTTTGAAGAATTACGGACTGGGGTTTCACTTCCGAATTGGCCAATTCCGACAGATCATAGCCGGAACAGAATGATCCGCCAATACCGTGGAGTACGCCGACAGAGGCCGTCGTATCCTGTTCGAAGGCTTCAATCGCGGCCGTAAGTTGTCTGCCCATTTCCGAATCGACGGCATTTCTTTTGTGCGGTTTGTTCAAACCGATAAAAGTGACGTTACCTTCTTTTTCCACCAGGATAGATGGTTCTTCCAGTTTCGTGGCATCCGCTTGGTCCGATTTCTGTTGTATTTCCGAAGCTGGTTTAGTGGAACAACATTAACAACGGTCTTTAGTCACGTACAGAGCAATGTTAATTTACCCACCTCCGGTTGGTTCCCTAGTGGAACACTGCTGTCGGATTATGCCGGTCCGGCAATGTGAAGCGGCAAAGCTCAGAGGACCTCGTATGATAGGCCACATTTCGATGGCACTTGGGTTAAACGATCGAGACGAATTGATTGCGAATTTCAGCCGGTCAAAGTCCTTCACATAGAATCTGGTCTAATTTGATTCGATAATAAATTGCGCGTAGTGAAAATTGTATGTTTGATAATAGCAGTATGGTAAACAATGAATACTGTCAAATGTGGGCAGTGTTGCCAGGCCGAAATAAAGCCCTGCACGCTATTTCAAAACCCTCCAAATTTGGGTAGAATACACCGAGGGGCGATTCACTATTGTTGAACGTATTGAAGTATTTTTTATCGAATAAACGTGTATTTTGGGTATTAATGTATTACGCATTAATAAGCATCTGTTGCCAAGGCTGTTACGCATTCGGTACTTATTTTTGGGTCACAACTACTCATTAATGTTTTTTTATTTAATGCACTTTTCTTAAAAATGGGTGAAATCCTACTCATTAATGCATTGTTTTGTGATTCGAGCTCGAATTAAAATATAATCTCGGAACCATTTGGCGAATTTTTTAACTTTTGGTTAAAATTTGACAGATGGAACGTTATTATTAACCCTGCTATTTGATTTTTGATATTTTCCCAACACTGGTTAAATATCGTCGCTTAAACATAACCCGCATAAACGCGAACCATAAATTGACCTTACCTAAAATGGTTAAAAATTGTTTATAATCCCTGCTAAACTTTAACTGAAATGGTTATGGAACTTTACATGAACGTTTAATGATAAAGTTTCAACCTTATGTATTATGGTTTTTTGGAACTGGACCTTACAAATAATGGGTTGTTAAGAACCATTACCATTCCAAATTCTTGTTTTCTCCATACATTTTCGGAAAGAGAACTATATTAGAACCTTTTAACTATTGGTTTGAGAACTTTAATGGTAATGGTTATGGTAGTCAGTAAGGTCCACGAATGGTTTTGTAACATCGATCAACTTTATGTGGAATATATCGCGAATTGGTTGCCTGTAATTTACTGATTACCAATTCACGATATATTCCACATAAAGTTGAGCGATAATACAAAACCATTAATGGACCTTACTGACTACCATAACCATTACCATTAATGTTCTCAAATCATAAGTAAAAACGTTCTTATATAGTTCTCTTTCTGAAAATGTATGGAGAAAACAAGAATTTGGAATGGTAATGGTTCTTAACAACCCATTATTTGTAAGGTCCAATTCCAAAAAACCATAATACATAAGGTTGAAACTTTATCATTAAACGTTCATGTAAAGTTCCATAACCATTTCAGTTAAAGTTTAGCAGGGATTATAAACAATTTTTAACCATTTTAGGTAAGGTCAATTTATGGTTCGCGTTTATGCGGGAACCGCCATCTGTTGAGTACACTGTGGTGGGTAGTACGGTGGCGGTAGTGTGTAAACGTCAAACGCAAGGGAACTGACTACGCGCGCCACAGGTGGCGGTACTTCTAACTATAATGCTTTTAAATTTACCGTTAAATGCTTGTTCAATGAACAACTTGCGAGAGTTATGTTTGTTTGTCTGTGGTTTAGTATTGATTCTGATACGTTGCAGTTCCAGTGGCTGGGTGTTGGAATAATTCTTTAGGGAAAGAGAATGTTTTTCCAGTGATAAATTTTAGGTTTATAAAAATAATTTTGTGCAACAGCTTCGCAAATCATCAATTACTATAAGAGATTCACTCGAAAGCAAAACACATTAAAAGCCCATTATGGTGCGAGCTTGGATGTGTGATTGTTTTCCTCAACTGTTTCTGTTGCGTAATGATTAAAAAACCGGAGCAATCACAAACAAATGAGAATCTCGGTATCGCAATATTATGATGTGGACGTCGAGGATGATATTATCAAATATATCATATTAACAATATGATCCTTTCATGCCTTTTCTTAGTGTTGCAATGGCGACCCGCAAAATATGTGGGATTCAACGGTGGACACCCAACAAGTAGTGAAGTGGACAGGCCAAAACCGATAACGGACGGAATTAAACCCGGGGAACCAGCGATAACGACGAAATAAAAGAACACTCGTACCGACTACTAGAAACGTGTTTAATTACCGGACTGTTTACATAGAATGAAAAGAAATTAACTTTCACTTTGTTATTGCAGTCTTCTCTCTTATGGTGCATGAAACTGATTGCAGCGTAGTGACGCCGGGTAAAAATGTTGCTCCTACTTGTACACGCTCAACACTCCTCCTCAATATTTTTCTCTGCTTCCGGTCCAGCTAGCAACTTCCGTCAGCCCCATGGCTTCCGCAAACTTCCTCTGCTTCACGGGTCCTAACGGCTTCGTGAGAATGTCGGCCGTCATGTTCTCCGAAGGGCAGAATAGCAGTTTAACTACACCTTTCTCGCACATATCCTTCGTGTAGAACATACGGGTGTCAATGTGTTTCGACCTGCGCGAAACACGCTCCATCTCGACGAACTCGATACAACTCCTGTTATCTTCGAACAACACGGTAGGACAGCACTGTTTTGCTCCTATCTCCTCCAAAATCCGCCGCAGCCAAACAAGATCTTTGCACGCTTCGGACACTGCGACATATTCCGCCTCCATACTGGAAAGCGAAACACTAGTCTGCTTTCGACTGGTCCAACTGATAGATGCTTCACCGAGTAAGAACAGGTATCCCGTATTAGACTTACGGTCGCTCGTATCCCCGCTCCAATCAGCGTCACAGTATCCACTCAAACACAGTTGTTTACCGCGTTCTGCATACAGCCGCAACTTGCTGCTACTGGTTTTCACGAGATACTTTACTACACGCTTTAATTCACCCCAATCTACCTCTGTCGGCTGGCTGATCTTCCTGCACAATATAGATACACTTGCTGCTACATCAGGACGTGTATTAACTGCGACGTAGAGAAGTGCTCCTGCAAGGCTTCGGTAACGGTCATTATCTGGCAGCTCTTTACTTCCTTCCCGGCTCCTGTAATAGCCAACGTCGATTGGCACGCTCGAACCTTTGGCGTGTTCGAGGCCGAATCGTGATGCCACCTTCATAATATATCTTTCTTGATCCAAACAGTAGAAGCCGTTCTTGTCCTTCGTAACTCGGATGCCCAGAAAATAACCAATCTCTCCCAATGACGACAGGGTAATCTTCTTTCGCAGCTCGTTCTCAACAGCGGATACATCCTGTTCGGTCATTCCAGCAAGTATCATGTCATCGACATGCAGCATCAGGTAGACGAAACCTCCTCCTGGTGAACGTTTGACGAACAAACAATGATCTGATCTAGACTGATAGAAGCCCAGACCCATCAGTAACTCGCTAATCGTATTATTCCAAATCCGTGCAGCCTGCTTTAAGCCGTACAGGCTACGCTTCAACCTGCACACAAGGTTTTCATTTCCTGGCACTATGAACCCCTTCGGCTGTTGCATATAGATTTCGTCCTGTAGTTGTCCATGTAGATACGCCGACTTCACGTCAAGATGGCGTACCACCATTCTTTTGTGACCGGCAACCGTCAAAAGAATCCGCAACGTCGCTTGACTAGCGACCGGAGCGAATACAGCATCATAGTCTATGCCGTAACGCTGTGAGAAGCCTTGGGCTACAAGGCGTGCTTTGTATCGGGAGACATTGCCGGTACAATCCTCTTTCTTCTTGTATATCCACTTACAACCGATGGGAACACGACCTGCCGGTAGCTGAACCAAAGACCAGGTCTCATTCCGCATCAACGAATCATATTCTTCAGCCATTGCGACCTTCCACAAATCCTGCTCGGAGCTGTTCACTGCCTCTTCGTAGGTTTCGGGTTCTCCTTCAACGGCTATGGCTGCATCCACCTCGTAGTCGTCAAATCGCTTCGGAAGCACTCCACGCGTGCTTCGCTTCGGAGTCGCCGGTTGTCCACCGACTGCCCCTTCGTCTTCCGGATCGTAGAACTCTTCACCTGACTCCTCCTGAAATTCTGGCTCTTCTCCTTCAGTTGGTTCCTCTTGCTTCTGCTGATCTTTGCTTTCCATATCGAGCTCCACAAAACGTTCGCTGCAGTCTGAGACCGAATCGCGCCGAACTAGCGACCCATCTCCCAGCTCGATAAATCTAGCATCCCGGCTGATTGTGATTGAGTCATCCTCCGGGTCCAGGAATCTAAACGCCTTCCTATCATCGCAATAGCCAACGAACAACAACTTACGGGCCTTGCTGTCAAGCTTGCTCCGTTTTACGTCCGGGACGTGGACATACGCTGGGCTTCCGAATACTCGCAGATTCTTCATCGAAGGCTTTCTGCCGAACCACTTCTCAAATGGCGTCAACTCGACAGATCGTGAAGGCAACCGATTCTGGAGATATCCAGCGGTCATGATTGCCTCGCCCCAGTATTTCTTGGGTAGCCCTGCGTCCAATAGCATGCACGTTGCCATCTCCTGTAGGGATCGGTTTTTACGTTCCGCCACGCCGTTTTGTTGTGGGGAATACACGGTGGTGAACTGGGCCTGGATGCCCTCTCGCCCATAGAAATCCTTCAACTCTTTATTAGCGTATTCACCCCCACCATCAGAACGTATTGCGCCGGGCGCTCGACCAAAACGCGTTTTCACGTGCGCTACATAGCGTTTGATGCAGCCCGCAGCGTCTGATTTCTGTCTTAGCAAGCAGACCACAGTATAACGACTGGCGTCGTCAATGAGGGTCATCAAGTACCTGCACCCTCCCGGCGTGACGTTCGTCATCGGACCGCAGACGTCCGTATGGATCACATCAAGAATATGTTCAGCACGGTTCTGTGCTTGCTTAGAAAATGGTAATCTAGAAAATTTACCTGCTAGGCAATGCTCGCATACATGCCTAATCCCGCAATCGTGAATACTAAAACCTTCACATAAATTCTCCTCCTGAATGCGTTCCAGCACAGCCGGATCCCGATGGCCGAACGGGCGATGCCAAGTATGCTGGCAGTCCGGCAGATGCCGAGCTTCCTTGCTCAGCCGCGCGTCCTCCGCCGTCTTCAGGATGTACAAATTTCCACACAACTCAGCAGTAGCAAGCAATTTTCTTTCTTCGTTCACGACACTACACCGCGATGCTTCGAAATT